AACTGGAAAGAGCTATAGCAATTTGGCATAGAAGTGTGGCAAAGAATAAGGCTGGGACATAGTAATCTCTCAATAACTGTTAGCTGTCATCACTAAATAAATAGGTTTCAGATTGTAAAAAGCTAGATTATAGGGCTCATACATTGTTTTCTAAGAGATTGGGGGCCATGAAATGTTTTATTCAGGAGAGCGATAATATTATATTTGTGTTTTATTGATATCACTTATCAGCTGTGTGAAGGTTGGGTTTGATGACAGGAATGGAGGAGATGGTCTTATAGGAGAATCCTCCAAACAGAATAATTCAGGGCCAGGGCAAGGGCCATGGTAAAGAGGTGGAAAGGAAAGGGCAGCTATTCAGAAGGTGAGATCAGGAACATGGGAGTACTGTTTGCATGTGGAGAATGAGGGAGAAGAACAGCTTAAGAATACTTCTAGCTTTCTAGCTTGGGTAATGTTTAACTGTGACAGAGAAAAGGAGGAAAAAGTTTCAAAGGGAAGCCGAGTTCAGTTTTGGACTTGTAACTACAGCACACATCCTAACAGAGAAGTCCAGCAGGCTATTGGATGAAAGGGTCTGGAGCTTGAAGGCTAGAGATAGATGTTTGGGGATATCAGCATGTGGGTGAGATGAAAGTAGCTAAAATCCCTCGGGGAGTGAGCGGAACAGTAGAGTGAGAACAGAACCTTAGTGAACGTCAGCGTTTAAGAGCGCAATTGGAGGTAGGGGACGGAGTCCTAAGAGAACCAAAGGGAGTATATCCCAAGTACAAGAGAGTTGAGAGGTCCCGGAGTCCATTAAACATCTGTTAAGCCCATGAGCTTTGAAGACAGGAAGACCTGGGTTGGAGTACTGTTTTCATCTTCTACTAGCTACATGACCTTGGTCAAGTTACTTGCCTGTTTCAGCTTCGGTTTACTGATTTGAAAAAACTAATAGCACCTATATCATAGGTGTGTGGCAAGAATTAAATGAGGTAATGCGTTTACTCTTAGTATAGAGTCAGTGCTCAATCAGTGTTGATAGTGTTCGGGGTAGTAGTCAACATTGTTACTGAAGAAAGAGGCCAGCCATCAAATGCAGCAGTGAGGTGTGTTTGGAATAAGTGGGCTTAGCAATTAGGATGTCATTGGTGACTTTAGTCAGCCTATTTTCAGTAGAGTGGTAGGACAGAAGCTGATTGAGTGGGTTGAGGAAGGACAAAATTGATTCTCTGATGGCAGATTACTCTTAAAAATTGGGAAGGGGACAGGAAGGAGGGAGTAGAAGAGGCTTGAGGAGGGTAGGAACAAAAGGGTTTTTTTTTAAAAAGATATACAAGATGAACACATTTATAGTTGAGAAGGTCTAGCAGACAAAAGGTTGGAAAGTTTGAGAGAGAAGAGTGGAATATGGAAGAAGATCCTGTTTAAGGTAAGATGAAAAGGAGTTAGGACATAGGTAGAGAGATTGGCTTCAAATACTAGAAGGACAGCTTATCTGTTAAACCTAGAAGAGATAAAGGTGATATAATTATAGAAAGTTTGTGAGTAGGGCAGTACGATGTTGAAGGAACTTATATGTGCCTCACTTTTCATAAGTAAGTAGGAGGCAAAGTGATTTTTTTGAGAATCATAATTGAAGTGGCACCAACATACACATTGTCATGTGACATTTTTTTCTACAGTTTTAACCAAATTATCAAGGAAGTTAGATTTTAACATTAGTTCAGGGCTGGAATGTTAGTGGCAAAATAGTATTGTGCAAAGGAAATGAGAGAACTAGAGAGAAAGAGAGAGAAGTTGGGGTAATCTATCATGGGGTCCAGGCTGATAAGGGAAGGAAGTGAGGCCAGGAGCAGCAGGTGGGTAGAAATAGAGCAATTGAGAGACAGCGATTTTTGTGAAGTTGTAGGAAAAGTTTTAAGAGAATATAGGTTTACAGAATTAGGATAAGGGGGTATTGTCATAATATTGGTTACTCGTGTCTATATTTCTTAGGTAGAATGGTTGCTGGTGCTTACCAGGTTTAGCCCTGGGAATTCAGGAATTGTGGTATAAGGTTTTCTTCCTGGTGAATGTTAAAATCTAGATTGGGGCTGAATTTGGGATGGAAGAGAAAGCCTATGTGCCAGGTACTAGTCTTCAGTGACTAGGAGAGAGTAGGGGATAATAGCGAGTGCTCGAGCCCCTGTCATGAGCCCTATAGAAGAAGAAATGGTTGTGGAGACTTGATAAGTCTTAAAAAATAAATCTGGTAGGGTAGACCAGCAGGCTGGAGACCCAGGGAAGCATTTCAGTTAAGTCCAAAGGTAGTCTGCTGGTGGAATTCCTTCTTGCTCCAGGAGAAGGTACTTTATTCTGGTAAGGCTGGTACTGCCTGCATGAGGCCCATCTGCATTATGGAAGGCAACTTGCTTTACTCAAAGTCTACTTCTTTAAATGTTACTCTTTTCCAAAAAACACCTTCGCAGAAACATCCAGAATAATGTTTGACCAAAATTTGGAACCAAGTGGCCATGTAAAATTAACTGTAAGGATAGAAGGATCATAGCAGTGGTATCTCTGGAGAGGGTTAGCCCAGTTTTTATCTACCTACTGCAGGCTCAGAAATTTAAGAGAATGTACTGGTAGTTTTTGAGGGATTGTTTATAAGATTAAAAAAAATTTTCAGTGGAAAGTATTTCATATCCCATAGTATAACATTAGTAAATCCTTTTCTCTTACATTTGTATTTATTTTTTAAAATGTCAAAGTGTTTTAGTAATAGTTATCTCAGTTTATCATTTTGGATCCGCAGGTTAACTCACTACCCTCAGCTCCCTTTTCTCCAAGAGAGAGTGTTGGAGAAAGCTTCATTTACTGCTCATAATTGCCATTTGTCAGCTGTTGGCATATAGCCTTGAACAGGACTCCAGGTTACTGTGTTCACACTTCCAGACTGAACAGTGTCTGTACCATGTGGCTACCCCCTTTTCTAGGAAGTAAGAGATCCTCTCTGAGAGTCCAGTCTGTATCACACAACAGCTGCTGGCTTGTGACAATAGCACTTGTCCACCTGAAATAATAAAGGTTTTCCGTTCTGTCTTGCTGCATATTCCTTGTTTTCAGTGTAATAGAAAAGTAATGGTATGAACCAGGAGTAAAAAGCATATGTCATTTCATCAGAGGATCTGGATATTTTAGTGTTGACTTAGAAACCTTTGTAACAGGAATTATTGTATTTCTTATGCTTTTACCATTGCTGACCCAGCATTGCTTTCTGAAATGAGGGCTTAAAGGCCGATGTAACCTGACGTTTGAAGGCATGGAAAAGTAAAAATGTTTCTTAAGTAGTCTAGCTGCTGTGTTTACTTGGGCATTACTCTGTACCAGAGAATAAAGACTGGGCTATAATATACCTGTTTTGATGCTTCCTGTGGGTGTCAGTGAGAAACTCCAGGTCCTCTAGTTTCAGCAGTATCACTTAGTATACCTACAAAGACTGCAGCCTCCCAGAAGGCAGCACCTTGATGTGATACTGGCATCCAGCACAGTGCCTAGCACATAGTAGACTCCCAATAAACATTTGTTAAATGAAAAATGAATTGAGGTTTTCTTTTATCTGTGGCTCTGAAGAACCATTGTTAGATTCTGTAGAGCTTGGAGAATGTTTCAGAATGAGTTTCCTCTTTGGGTAAGTGTTAGCTGGACTGAGGGTAGAATTTCCTTAAGAATAACGAAAACACTGGAGCTTAATTAGCTTTAAAATGAGGTGATGAACCCATGCTTTCTTTTGCAGGGCCCGTGTGAAACCTGGAGAAAGTGTTCTGGTTCATGGGGCTAGTGGAGGAGTAAGTTGTTTTTTTGTTTTTTTGTTTTTTTAAGTTTATTTTTAAATGGAGTTACATTTGTGGGTTTCACAGTATATTTCTTTTAAGTCATTTTTAAAAGCCAAATTTATAAATATAGTCAAGGGTGCTTTTTTCCTTTATGCAGTAAAGCGTAAGTCCTGTCTTTTGAAGGTGATTTTTTTTTTTTTGTCATTAGTTCATCATTTCTTGGTTAATAAATTCAACAGATTACCCCACCGAAAATGTATCTGTTAGATTTTCCACCTGTATTGAGTGTGTACCAAGATGAACTGGCTTTGTTTTTTACCTTCAAGTAGCATGTTATAAGAACATTTATTTAGAATTTTAAACAGCTCTATAAGGTTAATATTAAGTCCATATTCCTTTAGATAAGGAGCTAAGATTCATTAAGGCTTTACCTGTGTTGCCCCACACTGTACCACAGAGCCAGCCACACTGAATTTTTTGTCCTTTCTATCTCCCTTCCACTGCTTGCCTGCTGAGCTTTCATGACATTCATGGAGTGCAAAGTATACAGCTTGGTCCTTAACACCACAGTTCGTGGCTTAAAATGCTAATGAAGGGTGGAGGGAAGTGAGGACTCAAAATTTATAAAATAAGCCCTTCAGTGAAGTCACCCAACAGCAGGGCTGTCAGAAACCTCTTCAAGAAACTGGCCGTCAATCTGCCTCTGAGGAGCTCAGAGGAAAAGTTAGAGCTCTGAGGTCAGAATTTAACAAGAAATCCGTATGACCTCTATCCTGCAAGTAGAGGCTTTGGAAATTTTGGAGACAGAATTTCCACATTTTTTAAAATAAAGGGCCTGGGGCTAGATGGCTCACCTTGAGGAAGCTGGTTAACCATTTCAGAGCACTGTGTATTCTGAAGAGTGGATTGAAAGAAGTCACATATTAAATGGCACATTGTCCCTGGAATAATGAGAGGTACCCTGAAAATTGGAATTTACCTCTAAAGGTGGCCATTAATACAGAGAATTCTGTCTCTTGTGTTTCTGTTACTTTAAATAGATGAATCACCAGGTTTCAGACCCAGCTTCATGTGTACCTTAAATAGATCAATTCTGAAGGATTTCACAGATCAGACTACTAAAAATCACTAAGATTGTCTTTTGGGTCTTGGGAAAATATGATAAATATATCTTGTCATAAACTCACATTAAGCTTCACCAAAGAGGCTATTTTGGGGTTAAATTAAATTTAACTCTAAATAACTAACGGCTCTGTGAAACATACATTTATTTAAATTGCTTTGGCTTTCAGAGAGCTAACCTTGTGCTTTGTATAGAAAGGAGAAATTTCAATAGGAAGGGGAGAGAAGAGTTTAAAGAAAAATCTCTTTTTATTCCCTTTACCCTCTTGTGAAAAGCCCAGTCTCTTCACCATGATTTTTTATTTTTTTAAGGCAAAATCCACACTGTTCTCTGAGCTGGCTGAGTTTGTTAAATGCTTGGCTGGCAGGGATAGGCTGGTGACCTGGTGTGTGAAGCGCTTCTGATCTTCCCTTAAGAGTACTGTGTTTTTCTTGCTTCTGTTTGTGCTTTCTGTCCTCATTTAATTCAAATTCCTTTGGGATTATGTTGTGTATTTAAACCAGTGTAGAACTTAAGAACACGGCTATTATCCAGATATGTTGGTAGGGAGTGCCCTACTACAGTGTAAGCAAATAAGTACAAGAAAAATGGTAGACACATAATGGTTTATAATCTGTTGAGGGAGTACGGCTAATGTAATTGTTGAAAAGAGTAGAATAAATAGTGCCTTTAAATAGCTATTGAGTCCCCCTTTAAAGTAGTTAGAGCATAAGGAGATATATTTACATTAACTCTTAGGTTAAAATGTGGTTTTATTATAAGCCTTTTTTTTTTTCTTGACATTTTTAATTGAAAATTAAAGTAACAAAAATTGATTTTGCTAACCTCATAGGGTATTGTATTTCATGAAATTCGATGTCTCTCTCACTCATCAGTGAATTCCAGTATTTGTTTACTTGTTTTGGTTAAATCAAATAAATTCCTGCCATAACCCAGCTGAGTTCAAGCTTATCATATCTATATGCCTTATCATATCTATATGCCTTTAAGATCTATTTCAGGCTTGGGAGTTTGTGATCCTGTTACAATTTTAATAGTTTCTATCATCATTTTTCATTTTACTTCTTTTCTATAATGCCTAATCCATAATGATTTTGCCTTCCTCTATCTAAACCAGTGGTAATCAGTAAGAGGAGATTTTGCATTATCTCCCTCTCCCTTCAGGGACATTTGGCAGAGTCTGGGAACATTTTTGGTTTTCATATCTGGGTAGAGGTTCTGACATCTAGTGGGTGGCAGCCAAGCATGCTCCTTCAATGCATAGGATTGTCCCCACAACAAAGAATTATCAGGCCCAAAATGACAATAATGCCAAGTTTGAGAAACCCTGCTCTAAATGTGTGTGACGCTTATCTGTACCATTCATTTGCCATATAATCAAACATATATGTCCTAGTATTGCAATTTAAGTAATTGCTTATATCTGTATTTCTAAAATACCTTTATTTCTCCTTTATGCTAAGTACATCTATCTGGTGATCTAATGATTTCATCTAATCCCATAGCTTTAAATACCATCTATAAACTGATGAACCTCAAGTTTATATTTCCAACTCTTAACTCAGTCCATACCCGTATTCAGCTGATTACTGAGCATCTCCAGTTAGGTGAGCAACATATAGCTCAGTATGTTCAAAGTGAATTCTTGGTGCTTTCACAAACTTGATCCTCTCTAATCTTCCTTATCCCGTTAATCTACACCGTTAATCTGGCCAAAGATATAAGAGACATCCTTGTTTTTTCTCTTTTTTTCACCTCCCACAATCTATGAGGACAGCCCTTCAGTTTACCTCTAAACTGTATCTGAATTTGTTGTTCTTTCCAGTGCAGCCACCTTAGTCCACACCAGCTTCATCCCTCATCCAGACTATTACACCAGCTATTAACTGGTCCTCCTATTCCCATTTCCCTGCAACTTTCTTTTTGCCTCTCAGATAATTGAAGTGTTCTTTTTAAAGCCTAAATGGGATCGTATCACTGCCCTGCTTAAGCTCTCTGGTAGTTCTGCATGTAACTCAGAGTTTATCAACACAGCCCTGTGTGACTCAGTCCCTCTGTGCCCTTGAGGCCTCCTCCTCCACTCTCTCCCATGTGCCCCGCCCTCAACCCACACCGACCCTTTCTTTTGAACACTCCAAGCTCATTCCCACTTCCAGGTTAGCCATGACTGTTCTGCCTACAACATTCTCCATGGGACTTTTTCCTCACTTTAGTCAGCTCTCATCAATTCAGAGCAGCTTTCCTAATGACCTAACTAGCCCCTCTCCCTGTCTCTTTCTAAACTAATAGGCTGTTTTATTTTTTTCATAGCACTGTTCGTTTTCTGAATTCACTTTATTCATGTATTTCTTTATGTGTTTATTATTTTCACCCTTCCTTAGAATGTTGTTTCTTGCATGAAGTGCATGTCTAGCATAGGTAAACACTCAATAAATATTTATCACATAGATGAGTAAATTCATTTACCCATAGACCTGTCTCTTCCACCTAAATGATAGAGGCCATACATCTGTTACATAGTATTTTATATGTACAGTTAAAGTATGAAGTCAGGAAACATACTTTGGTCATTTTTAAATCCTATATTTTCAGTATAAAACAGATGCCAAGTAAACATTTTGATGCAGTGGTTAAAAACTCAAGCTCTGCGGTATGATTTGGTCCAGCTCGTGTGTTCATCCTTGTGACCTGGGCAACTTACTTAGATTTTATAAGCTTCACTTTTCTTGTATTTCTGTAGAATCCCTACATAATAATAATAATATCTGCTTCATAGGCTTATTGCAAGCACATTTTAAATACTCAATAAAAGTTAGCCATTGTTCTTATTTCTTCATTTAAACTTGAAGTTCCCTAACAGTAGGGTAGGACTTAAAAGAACTTTAAGTTCATTATATATATTTAATAAATGTTTGCAAAGATGCAAAGAATCTAAAACTATTGGATTGTATTTTGTTTTTCAGACAGGAATAGCAGCATGCCAAATTGCTAGAGCCTATGGCTTAAAGGTTTTGGGCACAGCTGGTACAGAGGAAGGACAAAACATTGTTTTACAAAATGGAGCCCATGAAGTGTTTAATCACAGAGAAGCTAATTATATTGATAAAATTAAGGTAAAATTGTTCTACAGTTTTATGAAAGCAAAATTTTGTTTCTTAGGAGACTTACATGTGTTTTCAAGTTCTTTTTATCAACCACTCTTAAATGTTTGCTGCTTTTTTTTAATGCGTATATTTTTTATGCCTATGTGTGTTTTAAATTTTTAATTAATTTAAAAAGCAGACATGTTTAATATTTAAACCTTCACTATCATTTCTGTCTTGTTTGTGTTTATCAAATAAAATTTAGCCTCTTGAGTCTTATAGCTATAAAAATTTATACTCTTTAATGCAAAGCATAGTTTAAGTAAAACTACAGCTTTGTGTTTGCACCTGTGCAGTGTTCTTAATATAATTTCTATTGGTGTAAACTTTTCATGGAAGGTGAGGTATCCACAGATTACAAAGTGGATCTCTCTAGCCTAGGGAATAAAGTTTATTTATTAATTGGGTGCTTTGGAGGAATAATCACTACTTCATCCAAAGAGGTGAGGTAGCATTTCGTTTGTTGTTGCATATATTCCATTGATACAACAGAATTCAAGTGGATTGTGAAGTTCTCTATTTGGGCTATTGTAGCAGTTTACTAAACACTGATAACTTTGCTAATACCCAAGCTACTTGCTAACATTGAGAAAGAATTAGAGTTTTCCAAGTACCGATTACTATGAAGAACAGGTCATTAAAAACTGAAGTGAGAGTTTAATTTTTTACCATTAAATCCTTTGTTATATGTCTGTGAAACCTAAATTAATGTGTTTTCATAGTCTGTGCCACATTACCATCTCCTTTCCCCCGACCACTTCCTCTCTGCTGCCCCCACCTTCCCTGCCCATATCCCAGCTCTGCTGGGCTGCTTTCCCATCCCAGCTTGAACTCTCAGTCCTCGCATCTTTGTTTTTCTGTCAGCTCTGTCCAGACCGCTTCTGCCTCCTGTCCAGCTTCCTCTTGCTCCTCTTCCTTCCTTTTTGCTCAAGGAACTCCTGTTTGTCCCTTAGGGCCCAGGTCATCATCTCTTTGGAACTTTCTATGAGCATTGCAGCTGATCAGAGTTGTAACTTTTTCTTTCTTTATAACCTATGGTATATTTCTACTAATGTAGTAGTTAGCCCATTACAGTATAGCTGTGACTGTAGTAATTTCTGTCTTTCTCCCTAGCTTTGTTTAGAGCTCCCCATGTCCATATTTGAATTCTCAGTACCTAACACAATGCCTGACACAGGTATTCATTTTTTTTTGGCTAAAATGAATGTAAAGTAGTTATATATAGCTTATTTAAGAGCTAGTTTTGCATGTTGGGAACCAACATCTGAGAGCTCAAAACAAAAGAAGTACTATACCAAGCTGATCGTAAACCACTTAGAACAAAACTGCACACATGCGCACATACACACACAAATCCTACAACACCAAACAGCCAATATTTTCTTTTGTTTTTTGTATTTAATAAAATGGGAATCTGGTGGGGGGTTATTTTTTATTTGTTTACTGTCGAAAATACATTTTGAAGGTAGAAAATTTTCAACTAAGGAAAATGTATTTATAGTCAAGTTGAATCTAAGTGCCTGAAAATTCTAGACAAATTTTATTTCATTATAGCAATTTGTTTTATACAAATCTGTATCATTTTAGATATGTGGCTCGTACCTTGGAATTATGTCATCATTATATAATTAGATCATTTTAAAATTTGCATTATTAGTCTTAGTAATACATTTTATATTATTTGAAATATATCTTTGTAATATATGGGACAGCGATAACTATTTTACACTTTGTTTTCTTGTTTTTTTATTCTGCATTCTTTTAAATTATATAGAAATCTGTTGGTGAAAAAGGAATTGATGTGATTATTGAAATGTTAGCTAATGTAAATCTTAGTAATGATTTGAATCTTCTGTCAAATGGAGGACGAGTAATAGTAAGTATCCCTTTTTTTTTTTAACCACTTTGATGAAGTTATACCATTATTTAACACTGTTTTGCAGCAATATTTAACTGTAGTCATGTTGTTGTTCATAATAGGTTGTTGGCAGTAGAGGACCTATTGAAATAAACCCACGGGACACCATTACAAAGGAATCTAGTATAATCGGAGTTGCTCTTTATTCCTCTACCAAGGTAGGAAAAGAAGCGATTCTGATCTTGGTTACTTAAACATTGACGCAGTTTGCCTCATCACGCAGACTGAAAGTTTAAGTAAATGTTAAACTTGGTTGTCTGACTAGACGAGTGAGTGGGTTAAGGATTAGTCACTGGAAGATAACTAGTGTGGCAATATAATTTATTTTCCAAGTCAGGACACTTTTGAGAGAGAAAGGAGATACTATTAGTAATTACTTCAGGACAGTAAGCATTTTGTAAACAGACTGTCTCAGACAAATTGGATTTATGGTTATCCTATGAATAGCTACTTTTTCTACAGTTCTGGACAAGTTGACAAAGCCACACATTTGTGAGAAATTTTTTATTTTTTCTTAGATTCTGAAAATGTTCAATGCTTCTAAAAATGAAATCATATGTTCCTCCACAAAGAAAATCTTTTCTTTCTCTTAGGAAGAATTTCAGCAGTGTGCAGCAGCCCTTCAAGCTGGAATGGAAATTGGTTGGTTGAGACCTGTGATAGGTTCTGAGTATCCACTAGAGAAGGTGGCCCAGGCTCATGAAAACATCATTCACAGCAGCGGGGCGACTGGAAAAATGATTCTTCTCATATGATTAATTCTTTCATGCATTTCCTCTGCAATTAGAGTTTTCTTACCCCAGTTTTACTTATACTATCTTTGCTTTAATTAGCATTCACTTGATTCAGTGAACTCCTTATATTAAAAGATAAGATTTGTTTTTAGAGATCCTGGGCATTGGAGTATAATTTATGTTGTAGCTGGTAACATTCTTTATGCCTTCTCCCTGTAATCAAGAAGTCATCATAGAAGGAAATGGGGTGGTGGTCATTAGCATTGGTGTGCATTATAGATATTCCTGATCCTTGATCATTAATTTCATACCTTTGACTAAAACATGCTAATTGAAAATAAGACTGCTTGATCTCCAAGCCTGTATTCTTATAAAGATTCTTTTGTCTCTGATTATCCCAGAACTGTTTTAGACGGAAGATTTTCTGGACTAAACAAAACTCCTTTTCTAAAAGGAGTTTCTAATTTTATGTGGATCTCCAAGTTTTTTGGAAGGTCAAGATAAACAATATCCAGAGAAATTTGTTAGTTTTCCAATATTTTCCAAAATATTAGGACATTCACTATGTTAATGGTTGCTTACCAGGCATTCATATATTTTGTGAGGACAGCAGCCTTATCTTTGGTATAATATGATATTACGTACATAGTCTCCAAATAGATCCTTCTTGATTGACTTGATTTCAAATTAGATTTAGAATTATCTGTTTGTGTGATGGGGGTCATATATTTTTATCTAAATCAATAAACAGTTTTGACACATTAAGAATAATCTGCTTTTGTTTTCATTACATGGTAACCTGCAATGAATTCTACAGGAAATTAAAAGCTGCTTTTATCTAGTTTGGCTTTATGTAGCACTTCCCTTACTTTACTCTTAACATAGCTCCTCATGGTCACTTCTCAGCAGTGTTCTGTGCTGGAAGCCTTTATCCGAACTAAATAAGGGAACGATTACTTAGAAATCTTGCTGTCAATATTATGTCCAAGGAAATGAGGTTTGATTGTTAATTTTGTTCTTTTTTTTCTTCATATGAACATAGTAGTTGATTCTCTTGACCTGATTTGTTCTGTTGAATGACAATCATGTTTCTAGTTTGAACATGGAATCTTGCTTTAAATAGCAAACAGAAAGCACTGCTGAGTCCTACAGTTGAGGGGTGTCATTGGCTTCTGTGGCTGTATGTGCCATGGCTGAAGTGTTTTTGCTATTAGTGTTTGCCAAGTTTATTCACTATTTATTTTACAGGTTACCTTTCTGTGACATAACATGTTTGAAAAAAGTTAAAAAGCAGCGTCATATGTCATGAATCTAGAGACTAGCATTTTATATACATCCTAAAATGAAGAATTCCTTCTTGTACAAAAAGATGAAGGAATAATTACTCTGTAAAAGTCAGTTTAATGTGTTTGCACATTTGCCTCATCTATAGAATGAGCTGAAGCATACTGCTGCCTTAATACTTCAAAGTCCATTGATATGCTGTAGTTAATTTTAAAGGCAAAATTAGCCAAACTTTATGTATTAACTACCATATTTATGATTATGTAGCATTGAACACTTTCCCTGTACAAATCTCTTTGTAGTTCTAGTTCTATTCTTGTCCTAGTTTTCGGCCAACTGTACTCACTGCACTGTTGCTGCCTATAGCCTAAGGGTGACTACACCAGTCACCAGTGCTGTCCCTGATACAAAGTAGAGCATAACCTGTAGAATCAACACGCATTATATCACGTCTCAACCGTCTGAATTCCTGTTCCTGTTTTCTTTGACCTTAGAATCATATAATGTGTTAGAGATCATATGGATACGCCACCCTGAGCCTGAGGAGGTAAAACAACATGCCGAGGTCACATGACTAGTAGATTCAAATTCAGCTAACATTTTTTCAGTAGGCTTTTGATACAAAACCTGAATTTTAAGACCTTTGGCTTTCCTGGCTTGCTATACCTACTATAGGAGTGGAGCTGCCTGCTTTCGAGCCTCATTTTGCCTGAGAGCCCTAGTTCTTGAGCGTTCCTAATCATTCTTGCCTCATCTCCTGATTTGACAGTCTTATGAAGGAAGTAGTCAATTCATCCGTTAGTTCAAAATATTTATTGAGTACTTAAGAGTCTGAGAAGGCAGGTAATTTTTGTCTCGCTCTCTCAGTGTCATCAACAATGTCTCACAGACAGGAAAACACTTCTCAACTCAATCCTTAATTCTCTTTCCAGTATTACCATTTTTTAGGACAGCGATTTTTCTAAAATGTCATTTGAAAATTACCATCAGACAGTTCTACTGATCCATAGAGCTTTAGGAATAGCTCATGGTGTGGGAACTTCCTACATCCAAGGAAAGAGGAGGTAATGTTAATATCAGAGGGAAATCTAAGTCATTTTGGTCTATGTCATTGACTACTAGGTGTTGATAGGGACAGTCCATGTATGATCTTTAAGAGTGAATCTAACACTGATCCGAAACCCATTGCGTTATATAGATGCTCATTAAACGTTTATTAAACGTGGCCACAAATTAGCAGTCTTATTTATCCTTTCCCAGTTTCATGTAAAAAACCCATGGAGACTGCACCAGTACTGGAACCTAAAGAGGAAAAACCCTGTGCCAAAATCCGTTGGGAATTTATACTAATCTAGTGTCGATCCTTTGATTCATTGACCCAAATTAGCTGCAGAGTAGGTAGGAAAAAACCTCAACTCAGTCACTGTTTCTAATTCAGGACACAGGAGCTACACGGCCTAGAAAATCAAGCCCCTTATTGGCCACAAATATCTGAGTTAGCTAGAGATTTATACCCATTCCTCAATGTCCCTCAGCTTCTTACTGTAACCTGCATTTTAGAGACTATGGGTTTCAATACTGGATGTAACTGCAGATTCAAGAAAGAGGAGGACTTTGCATTCTTGGATGTACAGTCACATAGAGAAAGACTTGCAAGTGGGTGGAGAGCTGAGGATCCCTGGATTGTGGCAAATGCTGGAGAGTGTACAACACTTGTACAAAGAACATTTGCTTGACTCTAGCAGAGCCAGATTACCTCAAAATCAGAGCAGAAGATACTTGTACCTTAGTCCAGCAGGCACTAGGATTGACCAAAGGTACTTATGAGTCCACCTCAGTCCGGATATATATCTGAAAGGAACTGAGCTCCTTTATGAACAGGGAAGATGACCAAATGCATATGAAACCCTCTGGTAAAGTTAAGAGCATAGGTTATGGAGGCAGAATGCCTGGCTTTAAATGTTGGCTCTACTATTGACTAGCTGTGGAGTCCTGGGCAAATGACCTCGTCATTTGGATTCTCAATTTCCTCACATGTAACATAGGAGTGAAATCTACTTCAGAGTTTGTAAGAAATAAGGCAATGTCTGTGAAATACTTAGTACTCTGTCTTGCACAAAGTGTTTAAATAATTGTTTCATTTTTATGTTCTGTAAAGAAAGAATATGTTGAGATAAAGGGGAAGAATGAAAAGGGAGTATTCTGAAATATGCAAAAAATAAAAGGAAACCCCAAATGCAGATTCCCGTAGGAGGTATGAATCAGCATAACCAACACTATGGAAAACTTCATTGGTCATATGGGTAATTTGATCCTTCTCCAAAAATATAAAGAAAAGACGAAAAAAATAAAAATAAAATAG